CCACTACTACTGCTACTACTACTGCTACTACTACTACTACTACTGCTAATACTACTACTACTACTACCACCACGATTGTTATTATTATTATCATCATTATCATTATCATTATCATTATTATTATTATTATTATTATTATTATTATTATTATTATTGTTATTGTTATTATTATTATTATTATTATTATTATTATTATTATTATTATTATTATTATTATTATTATTATTATTATTATTATTATTATTATTATTATTATTATTATTATTATTATTATTATTATTATTATTATTATTATTATTATTATTATTATTATTATTATTATTATTATTATTATTATTATTATTATTATTATTATTATTATTATTATTATTATTATTATTATTATTATTATTATTATTATTATTATTATTATTATTATTATTATTATTATTATTATTATTATTATTATTATTATTATTATTATTATTATTATTATTATTATTATTATTATTATTATTATTATTATTATTATTATTATTATTATTATTATTATTATTATTATTATTATTATTATTATTATTATTATTATTATTATTATTATTATTATTATTATTATTATTATTATTATTATTATTATTATTATTATTATTATTATTATTATTATTATTATTATTATTATTATTATTATTATTATTATTATTATTATTATTATTATTATTATTATTATTATTATTATTATTATTAGTATTATGAGATATTAGTTAAAGTTGAATATACTATATCTACTATTCTTTAGTGTACTTCATTTGTTCCCTGTCCCAACAGAATTGTGTCTACGTAATATACAGACGATTTTGAGTTATAATATACAGAAATATATATTACTTCGATAAAAAGATGTATGTTTGATTAAATTTGGTTTCGACTATTTAGAAATAAGAAGTCGAAAATATAGAATAAAACGCGATGTGCAAGAAAAGATATCCTGGATTAATAAATAAAGTACAGACAAGAAAATGTTACTTCTCACGGGTTTAGTACATACACAAGATCACCATGCTTGTCAAAAATTCTAATCATAGTACAACCAGTCACCTATGTTGATTGAGACCTTTCATCCTACGATATGATTGAACAACCAGAAATACAAAAATGTATGCAACTCACGACCAAATGCGAAGAATGTTGTCATCGTTATTGTTGTGGACCAAAAGAGGAAAGTTATAATCAAATCGTCAACCAATCAAAATCGTCAAATACAATGGAAGAAGTGGAGACTAGAAAGAACAGAAATAACAAAGCATAAAATACTATAATTTATTCTTAATGGCAATGCTAACTATTTTAAAAATTTAAAATAATGAAAGACTGATCTCTATTAAATGAAAAATTATAATGATGATATTAAGACTTCTTGATCGGATTCCATGTTTTAATTAATAGTAATTAACATAAGATGTAAGAAATGTAGTTAAATTAAATACAAAATACACAGTTACATTCTTGGCTTTTGAGGCACCGCCAGTTCTCTTCTTCTAAACATCCGCTCTTAGGGGACAGGAAAAAGGAGAAGGCGTGGTAAACCTTTAACAATAATTTGTTCTGAGAAGAAATGATGATTTGTTAGGTTATATCCTTTATTTTTTTATTTAATATTTTACATTCACAATTAGAAATGACGATTGCTCAAAAAATCTAAAATACTCACATGTGGGAGTCTATTAACCTTAAAACTTAGAACTTTAATAATAAAAGAAACAAAATTCTAGTTACTACTGATAAGAATTGGGATTCTAATGTAAGAATTTAAAACCAGACTTTACTATTTAATTAATAATAATTGTAATAAAATACAAGAAATAGAATTCATTGAAATACGATAATATGCAAAGTTTCATACGTGTTTAAATTTCAAGCATTACTACATTCTTCCCAGATAACAGGAAAAAGCAGAAGTTGTGAAAAACCTGTAATAAAACACATGAAATATAATATCTTCCTAGAAACATAATTTCGATTATTAGAAGGCTTAAGATAAGGAAAAATGAAATTTTCACAACAAAAAGAATTACAATTTTACTAAAATCTAATTACTATAAAACTTAAAACTTTAACATACAAATTTAAGTTGGCAATCTAGTAATTTTTAGAATTTTTCACATTTATGACGACTTCTCGGCAGTTGCGTGCTCTTTTCAATATGATGCCGCGCGAAATGGTGTAATTTCAAATATTAATTCTTATTTCTGTCACTAGGATGTAGATAACTTGGGTATATATTATGTCCTATTAGTATTCTGATATTGCATTTTCTTGATACTTATTTTCATGTAAAATTCTATAATTCGTAAAAAACTTGAAATTTTTTACGTAAGTTATTCAATTCTTATAATAGATTATGTATTATATTATAATAAAACAAAATTTTGTAGTAAATGTAATTGGAATCACGTTTTTCAAATATTAATATTCTGAAATATTACTACATATTAAGAAAGCGATACGAGTATTCATTTTTCCGAATACTACTATTTGCAAAATGATATCAATCTAAAAACTGCGCAAGTTCTGCTGTAGTCCAGAGTCTATTGCATATACAAATATATATAATTGTATATTCTACATATACAGCATATATATACATTTTTTATACGTATAATCTTTTATACTGTGTATATCTTTCCAAAATTCTTTCTTCATTAGGTAAGAAGTAATATTTATCATGGGACGCTGTGGGATATTGCAAGATAGCAGAAGACATCGTGTAAGATGTAAAATATCGCTCAAGATATCACGGAAAGCATTACGTAAGACTTAAACCTTAATCTTGGCAGATTTATGAAGTTTGATGTACTTGATCGAGATACTTATTCACAGAAGCAAATTTTTGTTGGTATTTCTATTTATTTCGTTGGTCTTTTGCTCTTTTTATTGGTCGTAATTTGTCTATTTCAGTTATCCATAAATTGTATTGCGATTTTCTGGGGCAGAGGTATGTGTAAGTATAAAATTCTATACTTCCTTTGCGATTGTAGAATATCCTTTTCATATTTTATTTATAATTTTCTAGAAGATTTTCTATTAGTTTTATAATTCAAACAGCTACTATATTGAATCGATAATGTCGCATGTGACACAAAAATGACGAATGAGTCAGATGTACGCCAAAACGTAGGATACGAAAAAGGATTGCATATTAGGCCTGTTTATGTACATAATTCCTGTGTTTGCTATAGCGAATCATAGAGGGCGTAAAAAACAGCCTCATTTTTTCCAGGTCGGTATATCAGAATCTGAGACAAAATCCCATTTAATGTCACATTTATCCTGTCCTTAGTAAAGAGTAGAATAATACAGAATACTCTGTATGAAGTGCTCTACGAAATAATCAACAAATAGCTCCAAATACAACTTTCTTCTCAATGAAGTTTGTGCCACGGTCATATAAACAGGTCTGGACCACTCGTGCCTGTGTAATATCCGGTAATATTATGTATACAACCATGGCCCGGATCTGTTTATATGACCATGATTTAAACATAAAGTAGCAACAGAAATGAAAACTATCTTACCAATTCCTTTCAAATTTCATACTTTACCGATATTAATACTAAACCTACCGGCGCGGTCAAATTGACCGCTCTCGCGACTTCTACACAAATTTAACCATATGTAAACTTTATGATATCGCTTCATAATTTCTGACTTTTCCTAAAACATGCATACAGTATATTTTTCGGTAATTAATTTTAGTTTGCTTTTTTATTTTCTGAGAAAAATTTGTACTCTGTCTTGCCTACCTATAATTGAAATTAAACAAAAGTAAATTTGGACGAAATTTTATGAAGGTTCATCATTTTATATACATTTAATTATAAATTAACCATTATCTAAGTTAAATCATAAACTATTACTTCTTTAATCATCGATCATTTTGACCGCACGCGGTAGGAAAAGTGTCGGTAGCTTTAGTGTTAATCTACCAGAAATAAAGAGATATTTCCGTTTCCGCTTTTCCTCCAACTTTATCGTAAAAATTTCTTCATTAATAACATTAATGAATTAATTGTAAGAAGAAAAGACCAAAGAAATATTTAATACCAATATAAGAATTTTTTTTGAACGTGAAACGTGCTTCTAAAATTAAATTTTAATTAATTTATAATGGTAATTATTTACAATTATTTATAAAATTCCAAGACAAACTTTGTGTTTGTTACATTTCGATCTCCATTAAAAAAACCTTGCTCTATAGTTTTTACGTCAATTTGCGGCATTAAATGTTTTGTACTTTACTGGAAAATTGCTATTTTACTTTAAATCTATTTTAGATTACAAACTGAGATTAGATGTATTTTTCTTTTAACTGTTTCTAATACAAAGGAAAACGGTTTATTCCGTGTTTAAACCACAGTCATACAAACAGATCTGGACACTCCTATACCGAAAACGTAGGAGTAAGAGTATTTGAGTGTAACGTATATAACTTTGCATACAAAAGTTATATATCCTCCTCAGTAAATACTTCGTTTATAACAACACTCGTTACTAAGGTATTTGCGCATAGATTGGATTTATTATAATTGTTTTAATAATATAAAATAACTAGCTAGTGAATTTTAATTATATTTCAAAAGAACCGCAATATCTTGCGCATGTGCAGAACAATATCTGATATCGACGCCATGTTGATTTCTTTGTCTTCATTTGGCGGACACTTGTCTCTATGCTTTCAATATAGGAGTGACCAGACCACGCCAAACTACGGTTGTCCAGACCTGTATACCTATGTATATGATCTTATGCATATATAGTGTGGTCATATAAACAGGTCTGGAGTTTCCATAGTGGAAGCATTGATGAAACCATCCGTCGTTTGAGTTAAACAAAATCGACATGGAGGGTAGAGAAAAGTTTCGTTCTGCGCATGCGTGACACATATATACATATATATATACATATATATAGGTACTATGAATGTTTCAGCAAAGACAGATACGTTGTATTCATCTCAGTCTATTTGGCAGAACAAGACCTTTTCTTGCCCTCTGTCACGATCCTTTTCAATTCAAAAGACAGACGGTTTTCTCTAACGAATGTTGAGATCTGTTTATATACCCGTGAACCGTGGTTTGGGCTTCAGCGAACAGTCACGTGGTTCTGCGAAATAAGCCAATCAAAGCGAACGTTGCGTACCACGTGATCGGAAAAATCGAAATGGTGGACGTATCGGGACGCAGGATCCCGAGAGGAGACGAAGGACGATAAATTGGGCAAGGGCCCATCATCCGTGTCATCGGTATTATCAATTTAAGAACACGATTATTCACGAATATTAGTGTAATTTTCAGCAGAACCGGCGACAACCGAACTAACGCAGAAGTATCGGTGACAGTAGACCTTGTTTACTGAAGTGTCAATCCGCCCGTATTGTACGTGTGTTCTCTAGGTGCGAGAAAACAGAAGAACAGTGTATGTCGAGTGCGCGAGAGCCACAGCTGTATCATATCGTTCTCTCGATAGTACGTTTCTGTAACGGTTTATAAGAAAAGGGGATATATTTTAAATAAACGAACAAAAAAAGAAGGAAATTCGAAATCGTGAAAACAGACGGCAATGAGTTTACAGTGAAAATTTCAGTCCATGATAGCATACACAAGAATGCGAAGGTTTTGATGATTTATAAGAATGTAAGAATGTGTCACACCGAGCGTCTTGTTATCAGCAAAGGAGGTAACAAAAGCAGCATATTCCTTGAATAGACTTGCATGTTTTCATTACATTCTTTAACGATGATATGTAACAATCAGTAAGTGTTATGCGTGGACGAGAAATTCTTGATGAATTTAAGCCCGGTTTACTCTGTTGACGTTCACACTCGCAGATCGTTGCTGATTGGTGGTGTGGTCCATGACCCGCCAATCGGCGTCGGAAGACGGTTTTCCTGCGAATGTCAGCCGTCAGGTCCGAGGCAATCGGTATCTCGGGAACGTATGTCGTTTTTCGCAATCCTTTGTGTATCCAACGAATGATCGATGTGTTACGATTACCGTTCACTCGAGATTATTTAGAATATTATTCTACACTGTTCCTTCTTTTTGTGTCGAGATAAATCCGCTACTGTTTAATTGAAAAATTACCAGCAATGACGAAAAGATTTAGGGGGATATTTTTAAATTCGGTGAACACAAATTCATAGAGAAAAAACACAAAAAGGGATTGGGATTTTAAAGTAACAAAGAGATGTATAGATATAATCTTTTTGTTTTAAGGTTAGAACAATATTACCCGGAATTCACATTTTATTGTGGATTTGATAGATAATTTGTATTTATATGTAAAGTCAAATATAAAAAGAAAATAAAATATTCTTACATTATGAAATTGTTTGAATCAATTAAATTCGTGTAATAGAGAAATACAACAATGACATTATTTACACAATGCAACAAATACTTGATGTAAAATATTTATGTGTCATACATTTTTTTTCAGATAAGATACTTCTTTAACGCACAAAAGTTCTATAATACGTACAAATGCAAATACATCTGTAATCTTTTGCAATAAGTGTATTAAAATACTCAAATGGCATGAGGATGTTTACAAAACATTGAAAACCTTGGATTATTGTCTCAGTGAAGATACTGAGTTACTGCCTGCCAACAATAGCACACCTACACTCTTTGCAACTATACAGTAAATGTCATGATAAAATATAATGGCTATCAGAAAGGTTTTGCTGGACATTCAGTGTTAAATGCATGATATCTGAATTAAATACATCATCCTATAAATTCAAAATACTCTAATTATTGAAGAACAAAATCAACAGGATTCTATAAAATTGACTGAATATATAAATTTAAAACAAAACAAAGAAACAATAGAATAATTTTAATGGTTCTGTTTTATTATACAAAAAAGAAAGGGTATATTAATTTATGATTATAATACTTTGTGGTATTCTGTCCTATTGATGAAATAATATGGTAAAATTAAATGCGACCTTCAAGAGAAGTTTGGGAGCACTTTAATTATTTCTGTATGTTATGTACTGCAACGAAAGAAAAAATACAAACTTTTATTTTGTTGAACCAATTCATGATTAAGATTTGACATGATATATATGTATATAAATAAAGTCTTTTAGTTTATGAATATTGGGTAATTTTGAGTGCATTTGACAAATTTAAATTAATGTAAAAATTACCTGTAAATAAATTAGCGAAACTGTAACTGATTATTTTTAAACAAAATGTATAAAAATTATTTTAAACGTTTACATCAGTGGTTGTACATAATTGAGAAACAAAAAGAAGAAGAAACAATACATTTGAAATTTTGCCTGGATGATAGAGGACAAATTTGTTAACCCTATATAAAACAAGGTAAAATAGCATATGAACACAAAGTAATAAAATCAATAACAATATGCATAGATGTAGACTTAAAATTGAATATTATTAATTTTATAGGGTTAAAAAATGGACAGTTGTGTCTCGGGGGTAGTGCAAGTATTTGTGGGTGAATGGAGCCCAGAATATGAAGCACTTTCAATTAAAGCTACAAAACAAACTTCCTCAGCTGAAATAGTGGAGTGTATTATAGAGAGACTTGGATTAATTGATGCGTCTGTTTCAAATGGTTATGAGTTAGCAGAAGTAGTAGGAAACTCTGTTGGGCAAGAATGTAAAGAAAGAAGACTTGGGCCATGTGAGTGTCCCGTGGCACTTATGTTATTATGGCCAAAAAATGCAGCGCAACAAGAATACTACAGGTAAATATATTTGTTTAAAATGTTATAACTATATGAATATTATCTTTATATAAGGAAATATGTATGTGTTAGACTAACTTCTTTATTATTTTTAGGTTTTATTTGCGCAAAAAACAACCAGATTATTTATGGTCAGATAGTAGGTTTCCCATGGATCCACAACTCCTCAAGGACTATTTTAATAGATTCCTATATCAACCACGAGATAAGGAGTATCCAGATCTATGTCAACTTCCAGATCTTAATGAACAAACTCTATTGGACAACCTTCGGGCTAGGTTTTTAGCTGGAAACATATATACATATGTTGGCAGCATATTAATTGCATTGAATCCGTTTAAATTTTACCCTATTTACAATCCAAAATATGTAAAACTCTATCAAAATAGAAGGTTGGGGCCAGATATACCTCCACATATATTTGCCATAGCTGATGCAGCTTATCATTGCATGCTTAAAGAAAAAAGAAATCAGTGCATTGTTATTAGTGGTGAGAGTGGCTCGGGTAAAACAGAGTCAACAAATTTTCTACTGCATCATTTGACAGCACTTAGTCAGAAAGGTTCTCATGGTAGTGGTGTTGAACAGACAATACTCAGTGCTGGTCCAGTACTAGAAGCATTTGGAAATGCAAAAACTGCACATAACAATAATAGTAGCCGTTTTGGTAAATTTATCCAAGTGAATTATAAAGAAAATGGAATGGTCCATGGGTAAGATTCTTATACATAAGATGTAGAAGATTATATAGTTTTATAATTATTAAAGACTATGATAAAATTATCTTTAGGGCGGTCGTACAAAAATATCTTTTGGAAAAATCAAGAATAGTTTCTCAAGGAAGAAATGAAAGAAATTATCATGTATTTTATTACCTTTTGGCTGGAGCAAGTGAACAAGAAAAGCAACTTTTGCATTTAGAAAGTTGCGACCGTTACAATTATTTAAATAAAAGTGGCTGTTATGGACTAGAAAATGTTGATGAACGACACGAGTTTTCAAGGCTGAAACAGTCTATGGAAATGGTTGGATTTACACCAGAAAAGCAGAGACGATTGTTTGCAGTTCTGTCAGCTGTTCTTTTACTCGGTGATTAATAAATTATTTTAATGACTTTTTATGACAGGATCTAATGACATGGATGGCATTATTTTAGGTAATGTGGAGTTTCAGCCTAGAAAATCTTATCACCATCACGACGAAGCTGTGGGAGTTAAAAATCCTGAAGTGGTTGCATTGATATCTGAACTTCTTCGAGTAAAACAAGAAACTCTTTTGGCTGCACTTACTGCTAAACGTGCAAGAGCGTCTGGAGAAACATTAGTTATTAACTATAGGCTTCCAGAAGCAATTGCAGCAAGAGATGCTATGGCTAAGTGTTTATATGGAGCTTTATTTGATTGGATTGTGCTTCAGGTAAGATATTGTGGTTTTAGCTTTGAAATTTGTCTTTTGAAAAATTATAAGATAATATTTTGTTGTTGATAGGTGAATCATGCTTTACTTTCAAAGAAAGATACCCTCAGAGATCATCAAGGCAATAGCATAGGTGTATTAGATATCTTTGGTTTTGAAGACTTTAAAATGTGCAATAGCTTCGAACAGTTATGTATAAATTATGCTAATGAACAACTACAACATTATTTCAATCAGCATGTTTTCCAATATGAACAACGAGAGTACAGAAAACAGGGGATTAGGTGGACAGATATAGGCTACAGTGATAATTCAGGTTGTTTAAATTTAATAGAAGGGAAACCGAATGGCCTCCTTTGTCTTTTAGATGATCAATGCAAGTTAGTATTTAGCATTGGCTTTATTCTTTAAAAACACAAGTAATATCTCGCATTTCTTTCAATTAAATTTTTTTTCTATTGCAGCTTTCCGGGTGCAACGAATGAGACACTGCTACAAAAATTTAATACAGTACATAAAGACAATCCATTTTATGAAGCACCACAACGACGCGAAGCAGCCTTTGTTGTACGTCATTATGCAGGATCTGTTAAGTACCAAGCTGCTAATATGAGAGAAAAGAATCTGGATTTAATGCGACCCGATGGTGTTGTTGGTGTATTGAAGAATTCTTCCCTTGCTTTTGTTCGAGAATTAGTGGGTGCAGATCCGGTTGCGGTATTTAGATGGGCAATACTTCGAGCATTTTTTCGCGCTCATTTTGCTTTCCAAGAAGCTGGTCGAGCTCATAGACATGGTCGAGGTACAGTATTTTCTTTAATGATATGGAATATTCTTTTACTTATATTTAAATTCTTCATGCTAATAATATGGAGATATTTTCTTTTTATTCTAGCTGATGGTACAAAAGCATCTATACAAAACAGGTATAGGACACCGAACGAGAATTTAATAAGGTATCATAATTTTCATGTCTAATTTTATATAATCTTTACTCTCGTAAAGGGTGACGAAATATTTGAGTGCTTGTATACTCATAATATAGAGCAATATTTATTAGTTATATAATAATGATCGTGATAAACAAATGGCAATGTTATTGCGCTTGTTTTTGAATATGTTTTATCTGCATATTATCTCACCCTACAAAATATAAATCTACGTTGTGCGTTGATAATATTTGCATCAAGCTGAAGAGGTTCCTATGTGTTTATAATTGAAGCAAACGTTAATTATATTTACATTGGCCACATGTCTTTTGTCCCTGTAGCCATCTTGTGACGTTGTCGACCGTCAATCTAACTATTAACCGAATCGCGTAAGTGGTCTTTTGATCCACTGTATGTGTCATTTTGGCAAACATTACCTTTTTTTATGCTAAGATGTCTTATGGATTTACAATGTTTATCTTTAGTTTTACAGCAAGAGTGTACTAGCAAAGCTTAAAATACAAATTCACTCGATTTATAATAATACAAAGTAGAGATTGCAAGTTATAAACAGCTTGTAAATCCATATAATTTTCCCAATCTTATGTGTGAGAAATTGTTTAGAGTTTTCTGTGTGCACTTTTTGTATTAAATGTGATTAGAGTGCAATCTTCATAACTTTCGTAATACAGTTACATTCTGTCATTTAAAATATATTAATTTACTTGCTATTATTCGTAAGCATGATTAACAATTCAACAATAATTTTTTATTTATACAATTCATGCCAATCATTAAAATTCGCATTATTTCATCACTCGTGAAACAGATTGTTTTCAATGAAATCATTTTCTTCCTAAAGTCACCAGCAAGCAAAGTTTAAAAGTTTAAATTAAATACTGATATTGAACAATATATGGTTACTATTTAAATACATAAAACTACTAAAAAAAAACTAAGCATGAGAGACTTTTTCAGTTTGCACAAACATAATCGTCCACCAAGCTATCAGAAGCAGCGCAGTGTCTGCATACCATCAACTATACCCATTACCACATTATCTTCTATACAACTCGAAAACAACGACAATGTAAACAACAACCGATTGTCGTGGCCACAATCTCGAAACATTAATCAAACGCAACACCCGACAAATGTAACCACGATGAAGGGTTACTTAATAAGGGGCAGGGAAGACCAGCCTCATAGTAATAATAAACTCAGACGGGATACTCATAACCCGCTAGAGAGGGTGCTTCCAAAAGACGAAGCAAACGTCATGGAACGCGCTAATCAAATAGTCATGTATGTAAACAGCACCTATTTAATATTCCATAACATTGTAATATTTAAGCTACAAAAATTCACTGCTCTACAATAAAGGTAGTGTGTGCTCTATAGTAATTCTGGGTGAAGGATTTCTTTGTGCATAGGTAATAGCATTTCAATAGGACATTAATGGTCTTCCCATGCAGTCATACACAGCTTTCTACAAATATTCACTATTTTATGAAGCTTTCACATATTTTTTAGAGGTCATCAAAATCATTCTATTTGATGTACCATAATATTCACGATCATTATCGCCGGTCGTCTTTTAGTCATCACATTTTAATAATTTATTTGTTCATAATCTTAGCTACAATTAATGCATGTTAATTTCACAATAGTAGTTTTTTTACTTTTTGAATTAATAATATTTAAATTGACCCATTTATTCCCTACAATAAGCTTAATTAAGAAATGTTTAAAAATCAATAATGCATTTATTTCGATTCAATTTCTATACAAATTAAGAATGGGTTAATTTACATTACATGCTGGTTGATACAGCATATATATTCAATTCAAAAAGATCCTATAGCATTAAGCTCTCAATATTACAAACATATCCTTTCTTGCTAGCAATTAATTACAATTAATTGCACGATAATATTTTTTTATGAATTAAACGAATTGCAAATTTTTTATAAGAATACATTTATGTACTAATGAAAACCATAACTCATAAAGTTAGTAGTTCGTAAAGAATGCAAATTGCTTATCATTAACACTAATAGTTCATATTAATCCATGTATTTATTTAGTGCACAATTATCAAACTATATTTCCTTATATTACTAAGAATTTCTAAAAACTTCTAAATCTGCAGATAACCACTTTTGTACACAATTAATCTTAATATTGTATGCTTCTCTAAACTTGCTATCATAATCTAGTCATATAAATTCTAATGACATTCTGCTAAATGTTTGCTATCTCTCTTTCATAGTACGTTTGTAATAATTAATTGTTACTACTTGCAATGCCATACATGTCATTATAGGAATCATAAATTCTCCTTTTCCTGTTTTTCTATGTCAGGATATTTAATACTAATTTAGAAAAAAAAAACCAAAATATATAAATATTTCTAAAATAATACTAATATCCTTCAAAATGTAAACATATAATTTATGTATATTTTTTATTTTGATAAGAAATTAAAAAATAGGAAAAGGAATTCGTGAAATAATTTTCAATAATAACACATTAAAATTTAATACTTTTACAGGAAAAATAAATCATTTCGACCAAGAGAACGGGGTAAGAAGGGTCTAAAAAATCTACAAACTGTAAAAACACTTGCTGGAAGAACGCAAAGTTACGGCTCAGGACCTGGAAAAGCAAGAAAGCAGCCTATGACAGTATCTGCACAATTTCAACAAAGTCTGCATAGTCTTATGGATACGTTAAACCAAGCAAACCCTTTCTTCATTAGATGCATTAAAAGCAATGCCAACAAGGTACCAAACGAGTTCGATGAAGAAACAGTGCAACGACAGTTAAGATATACAGGAATGTTAGAAACAGTCAGAATAAGACAAGCTGGATTTAACGTTAGATTAACATATGAGGAATTTATTCAATTGTATAGAATGTTATTACCTAAGGGCTTATTAAGTTCTCAATCTGACGTTAGAGATTTTCTATTGACACTAAATTTAAATAGAGATGATTATCAACTTGGAACAACTAAAGTGTTTCTTAGAGAATCAGAAAAAATTAAACTAGACATTGAATTACACCAACAAATCATTACAAGCATTACAACTATACAAAAATGGTTCCGTGCGTGTTTAGAAAGAAGGAAGTTCCTTAGATTGAAAAATGCAGTTGTGCAAATACAATCATTTTGGAGGATGGTCATTGCCCAAAGATTTGCTCATTCTTTACGTACTAGAATTGAGGCTGTCATTCACATCCAGTCTGCTTGGAGGGCATATAAACAGCATAGTTGGTTTAAGAAACTTAAGTCCTGTGTAATTATGTTTCAAGCTCATATTCGCGGTAATAGAGCGAGGAAGACTTTCGCAGAATTAAAAAAACAGAAAAAATTGCTTGTTGATAAAATCGGAGAGTATAAAGAAACTCAAAATCAAGGAGAGCTTGTATATGATAACAGTAAGGTATATCCTAGGCTCAGGAATAACGAAGAGTAAGTACTTGCAAAAGAGGTTAAAACTATAATATGTATATTTACAAGTACTTGTATTATTATTAATGCTTGTATTTAATTTACAGGTCACTCACAGATCAGGGCTTGTTGGAATTTAATACGATTCGTAAAACGGAGTCTCAGAATCGTCTTACGTCAGCAAGGTAAATAAATATCTATTTTTTACATTAAAACTTTTGATACTTAACCACAATAATATGTGTTAATTGTAGAATGGATAATGTACTTCGAGATAGTACAGCTGATACGAGTATGTCATATTCAAAGCGTAAAATTATACCAAATACAAGAATATTACAAGAATCTAGCTCGATCTTAAGAAACACGGATTCTTTTCCTTCGGATGAATTTAATGAGCGTAAAAGTAGCTTGGAAAGTTTGACTAGTTTAAGAAGCTATGAATCTCAAGTGAGCAACAGTTCTGAATCTCAAGACAATTCTTATGGCAAACCGGTACCGAGCACTAGAACAAAACGCTGTGATCAATCTCCAGTAGTTGCCGCAAATACAAACTTAGTAAATGCTTCGAGCCGATTGCCGTCTGTTAATAAACGAGCAGACAGTTCATCGACGGGATATAGCGATGGAGAAACTGATACAGAAATTCCGAGTACAGTACAAAGTGCTCCGCCTGTTTTTAACACAGCTCCATCATTTCCAAGTCCACGAGAAATTACATACCATCAATCTAACATGAGTTTAACGCATAGTCCAAATTCAGACGTCTGGCGTCGCCGAGCAGACTTTTCTTCGTCCATTAACTATAGTGATTATTTACTGCCTGGTCCTCAAAAATCAACCTTGACACGTTCTCCAAACGTTTCTCAATATAAAAGTATAGCGGATAACATGTTCGAGCAAGTGCAACAAGACAAACCAAACGAAGCATCGAATTATAATGTGAAATTGGATAGTGACCGTTTTATTCATATGGATAGTTCATCAGCTAGAGAACAACGTCGATTAAGTGATAATAGTGTACCGAGCGAGCGGATTGAAAGCGTCCCAGTTTCACCTATCAGACGTGATCATGGTTATGGCCACAGTAAAGAAATGAAAGATTTTAGTTACTTGAGAAGGCAAAACTCGGAAGGAGATACATCTATGAAATTAGATGCTGTGAACGATGAAAATGCTTTAAAAAGTCCCTTGTTGAAAGGAACTTTGCCCAAGGAGAAAAATTCGAAACCAAAGGAAAAATGCGAACCCGACGTGCCTGTCAGAAGTGCCAGAAGAAATCGTCCCACTAGAGAAGTCCAGTGCCGATCTATGGGTGAGAGTGTATCAGAAACCAACAGTGGAGAAACCAAAAGTCTATTTCTGGGTACAATCAAAGAGAGTGACCTACATAAAGCAACAACTATAAGACCTCGGAAAGATAGTTCGCATGATACACCATCCAGATCAATAACAGATTGGCCTGTAAACAAAAATGAAGCTGCATCGAAGACACAACAACCTGGAAAGCGCATGAGATCCAACGCTATAACAACATTAGAGCTGAGGAGAAGAAATTCGGACCCAGCAACTAAAATATCAGGACTTAGCGAAGACAAACCTGGAACTGATACAAGTCCCAATGACCTAAAACTCGCACCTGGAATGAATCTATTAGAATGGAAAGGCAATCTTTTCACGTTAGCCGGTCATTGTTTTAGAAAAGTAACAAGGTTTGCCAAAGACGATGTGTGCGTATGCTGCCACGAAAAGATGGATGCGTTCGTAACACAGGGGCACAAATGTATTGACTGTAAACAATTATACCATGTCAAATGTATTCAGAATGGCGGAGTACTTAAAATGCCATGTATATTAGCAAACACTCCAGGTAGGCGAAAACACAGGAAACCGCCACGAACGCCATACGATGCCTCGAAACAAGTAGTGGTATCGAAATTCAGCTTAACCGGTACATCCGCGTTCTCTGACAGTACCGATAAGATTATATCCGACGCGAAAGAGTTAGCTCTCATGCAAGATTTTATTACGAAGAAGATATACATAATGGAAGGACAAGAGGAAGGCAGGAAGCCAAGCGAAGTCGATCGTGTATTTAGGCAGGCTTTGCGTAAATTTAAAGACGACCTAGTGATCACTTACAGCGTTGCTATTCAGCAAGGTGTGGAAGGCAACATCAAATACACTGACTTAATTGCGAACTTTTTGCACGTAATAGAAACAGTCTGCAAACAAGAAAATACCAGTGAAGATTTTCCCGTGACGATGGGAGTAAATGCATTTAGAGGATTCATGAATGAATTTATGACGCTAGTCAAAACAGAAGCACCGGAGAAACAGAGTAAAAGCAAGCGTAAGAAGGAAAAGAAACGAAAACATGAAGAACCAATACGTCATGGTAATCATATGTTCCAGTTAACTATTATAAACATCCCTACAGCTTGTGAAGTATGTACGTCTTTCTTTATGTGGCCTATCGAGCGAGGACTTGTCTGTCAGAGTAAGTATACATATTTCTTCCCTTTTCTGTAGCATTTATTTATTCGTATTTACATTTCTATGTTTAGATTGTAAGTTAACGTGCCACAAAAAGTGTTATATAAAAGCGTCGGCAGAATGTGGAAAGGAAGCGTCGCACGAAATGAACTCACGGAAAATATTTGGTGTACCGTTGTATAAATTGGACTGTGGTGACGGTAAAGTACCGATAGTGGTAGATCGGTTAATTACAACCATAGAGATGCATGGTCTGTATACGGAAGGTATATATCGAAAGAGCGGTGTCAGTTCCAAAGTGAAGGAATTAAAAGTGAAAATGGACGAAGGTGATCTAGAAAAAGTGGACTTTGAGAATTATCAAGTACACGTGCTTGCAGCAGTATTGAAAAGTTTCTTTCGAGATATGCCAGAGCCTCTCCTCACCTTCGAGTATTACGATGATTTTCTGCATGCTGCGAACTTAACGGATCCTCGGGATCGAATCAGTACGCTATTTGCAATTTTGAAGAAGCTGCCGAAGCCAAACTTCGATTTGATGGAACGACTGATCGTTCATCTAGCTAGAGTAGCGCTTCATGAAGTCGACAATCGAATGTCTCCGTCAGCCCTAGCAATAGTCTTCGCGCCGTGCATTCTAAGGACGAATAGGACGTTGCCCGCGCAAGATTCTTTACAAGATGTTGGCAGGCAGACTTGTTGCGTCGAAACGATCGTACAAGAGAAATTGAGGGTCGTGCGAGCAACTTTAGCCGACATAAATACACTCGAATCCGCTTGTCATACGGCGACTTATCGTTTATCCAGTTTACGATCTTCGAAAATCTTCAGCCCAGAGGAGTTAAACGCTGCGACCCCAAGTGTGACTGCCAGAGGTGGTACTACAGATCGAGAGAGAGATCGAGGCGATGAAGAGGAGGCGCTTCTCGTCGATCATATACAAGAAATCCAAAAGGAAAAGGCCCTACTAACTTCAACTCTTCCCAGCCTAACGAGAGCTTCTTCAGACGACGACCTACTTCTATCTGCCACAGATTTGGACGATGGATCTCTTGACGATCTTCTTCCATCTTCTGCCGGTAAATTGTTATGATTTCGTTAATTTTGATCTTTCGAATACTGTTTATGCACGTATGCGTCCAGAAAAACAAGTTCATTTTTGCCTGTGTGCACGTGTATACAGTGTAAGAAAGAAAAGATTTAGTCGCATGTTCTAATATACACTTTTCAAATAATATGATATAAATCATTATCTTTTATATTATGATAATAAGGACAAATTAAAGAAGATTTATATTTTATTATAAGAAGATATTTTGAAACATAGATGCTAGCAGTACTGATTAAAGTTAGATTCTTTTCTCTTAAGTTAAATCATTATAATTTATGGTTTTTGCTTTATGTCTGTCAATAGACGGACTCGTAAGAAAGAGACCTATCCAGAGGCAAAGTTCCGCAGACAATGCATTTCCGACGATCATTAGTGTCGATGAAGACATGGTAATGGTATGACCATCCACGATAAACGTTACCACGAAGAATGATGATCGTCAAGTGTAGCAACATGACACACGCTGTGAAGCGTTGACTGACGGCAGCGAATCGACGAGTCTTACCTCTGGTCTCATCGGCAAGCCGCTAGTAATTTAAATAAGTAGTAAACACGATATTAGGTAGGTCTAGTAATTTGTTCCACACGAAGTTCAGCTGATAATTCGATCAAACATTATATATATATATATATATATATATGTATATATATATATATTATTATATATTATTATATATATATATTATTATTATATATATATATATTATTTTTTTCACTCTATCGCAAAGCTTTCAGGGGTTTCTAAAGAATGTTTAACAAATTACGCGAATATATAGCTTCACGTGAAATGTATTAAATATTCATTTTATAAGCTATTTTTCTCCTGGAATGCATTCCTTTTATTGAAGACTGTGTCAATCAGGCTGGATATCTTGAAAGCTCCATCGAAGCAGAACATTTACATTTTGTAGGTATTCTATAGTAGAATATCTCTTCATTTTGATACATCATGTTTCATTCCTCTGTACCATCGACGTGAAGAGTTATGATAGTTATTTTGTCAAGAAAAACGGAAAACTAGACAAGGATTATCGGTTGTTGTTACAAATGTTTAGTCGCATTTAAATTCTTCTTCTACTTCAAGTTTTTTATCGGTTCGTTTGAAAACAATCTATCCTTGTTCTTCGCTCTTCTTACAGATTTTATAGACTGTTGCGTGAATCAACACGATAATAACTACTTTTTTTTTTACTAGAAAAGGCGCAAGTTTATGCTGAGTTTTTTGACAACCGCAGGTTTAGAAAGGAAGGTATTCGTATTGTTTCGTTAGCAGAATAATGGAAAAAGGACGATAGAAAAGACGGTGTATAGAACAATATCATTGATCGATGGCTTGAAAAGAAGCGATAACGAGTCACCTCGTCAGATTTTGTTTTTGCCAGACATATTCCGTTAACTTTGTTTTTTTTACATAGAATACTCGCGCACGCGATGCAATAGATAGTTATCGAATCGCTGTTTCAAGCAAGTGATTCGAATCACGCGGAAAGAGGGAAAGAGGAAACCAAATTGTAGCTTGTACATATATTATTAGGTTATCCGAGAAGTTCGTGCCAATTTTTATACCGTTGTTCCGATCAATATTTTAATCGTATCTTTGGATGCTATGAAAAGCGTAATCAACCAGTTTCTTCCACAGCTTCTTTTGTTTTTCCTTTATTTCTTTCTGGCAGAAACATATTAATCATTAATGATCTTTTCTAATCTTCCATTCTAATCTCTATTACTATATTGATATTATTAAATAAATTTGTTTACTCGTTAAAAAGTATTTTTCATAGAGTGCAATTCTAATTTTTCTCGCCAGAATAGCGATTCGTTTTGGATAATGCCTAAACATACCCGTACAAGTAGAACCATTTTAGGTAAATATAATGCGGCGTAAACTTCTCGAGTCACCCGATATATACGATAATGAGTATCTCGTAATAATCTGTTATTATTGTTATCTTTACGAGAGTCGTTACCAAGATTATTTCTATTGTCGATATATGCCGTATAGGGTTTATACACGCCTATATTCCGTTGATAAAATACATAAAACGCAAACACACACACGGCCTGCCAATTATGTACTTTCGTATCAGTTTTTACTTAGGCTACTTTTTTTCATACAGGGAGACTCCTTTATATACATAAACGCGTTCGAGCGAATACGTACTAATGTATAGATACTACATAGACACACGGATTACACATACACGTGGAAAACATTTGTATACAGTAATACTTATGTATATACAAAGACTTTTTTTGTATGCACCGGACTGAGCAGACGGTTTTTTTTACTTGAGATTTATTACGATTTCGTTTTAGTTCCCCTGTCGTCCAGTGCCTTTTTTCTTCTTTTATTTTTCCTCTTTTTTTTTCTTTTTTTTTTTTTAAGTTTCAGCTTTCTTTATGCTCATCTCCCCCTTTTTTTTAATACACCGCTATAGCGTACAGTTGGTCTGTTTTTCTGTCGTGCGTCCTCGTGTTAGACTCGAATATCCAACAATTGAAAGAGTCGTGAAGTTATTCGAGCGAGACGTTGGAATAAAATATTTCGATGTCGTGTTTCGCGAAAAGTAAAAACAAAAATAGGAAGAAAGAAATATTATTTTTATTCCAACATCTCTAATTTATCTAGCTTTTTTTATTTTGCATTTAATTGAAAATTCCATCGTGCTATTTTAATTTTAATTCGACGACAAAGCGTATCAATTTCCCACCAATTTCATATTTCAGTTATGCTTGTATTCACCGAATTACCAAAATCATATCCCCCTTCCCCTTACTTCACTCCCTCCCTCCCTCTCTGTTTCGGGATATTAAGGATATTTTAGAATAACATGCACTCGATTACTTTGCTTTTTATTAATTTTTTTTAAAAAACCGAAGTCCCTTTCTTTTTTCATCTATGCCCCACGATTTTACCGATATTTCGTTAGCTCGCTGTAAATCTCGTCGAACGATCGGCCACGACAGAGAAAGGATCTTGCTCGCGGAAAAGAGGTGGGGAAATATTTATGCGGTATACATACATGTTCCAAGCTGTAGAAATATGTTTTAGGAACGCGTTATGGAGCAATTTGAACGGTCGAATCGAATCATTTCGCGTTGAATTACATCGGATCGCGCGTGACTTTTATCCAAGTAACTGTTAGCATTAAAACCGGGAAATTCGGAAAAGGGCACGCGACTTCTTTTCTTTCCAAAACGTTGCAATTTCTTCTTGTCTTTTTTCCTCTTTTTCTTCTTCTTTTTTTTTCATCGACTCGCGAAATCTACATAATTCGTGTCACGTTCGTTTTAGAATGATCGATTAGCGACTTCAACTCTTTTAAATGTCCATGTTCATGTTTCGCGCGTCGTTCTTTTTTAACGCTCAAGCCGAACGAGCGTGAGATCTTTCGTTTTACGGTTGATCGATTTTTACACTGATTAGGATAGGATCGTTGTGACGTGCGTTTTGTTCTACTACGCAGATTGCAGTAGTAGCCTGTCTTTTAACGTTGAAATGTTATTGCATTTTCTCGAGTTCGTGACATCTGTGACGTTGGCCACGGCCATTCGAACGAATTCTATTCGATCGATCTCTTCCTCGATGTCGAAACAATTCTTCGTTCGACGCGCCTTGTGTTCTTTAATCATCGTGAAAGTATCGTGCAAGAGTATACGGATTTGTATGCACGGGCGCGTACATTATCGATCGATAAACATACGCGTTATTATGCAAAAGGTTCCTTTATCTTAATCAGTATTATTCACCCTTTTACCTACGATACGCCTCACGTACACAGCGAAACTCGTTCTTTTCCGTCCCATGGGGTTCCTCTCAAATATCGATTCAGGGTTTTCTAGCAATCTTGTACTTGATACCAGCACAATTTTCTTCAATTATTTCTTAAATGATACTCATTAAAGCTTTAGAATGTTAGCGGCTTAACAGCTCGTAATCAATTTCACAGTAAATATCAATTAAATGGGACGGAGAATTCACGGAGTAATTACCGAATCGTATAATTTTGTCAATTTTTTCACCACCTTAACTGCCGTATTTTATTTCTTTGCGATTGTGAAACGTTTCGAATACGATCAAACGTTTTCTCCGGTATTTCCTTTTTATCGATAATGGACGTGCTCACGATGAGAATACACGTTGGTTAACGTTAAACGTTCTTTATGCTGAAAACGTTACTGTTAATTTCAGTGTGTAAAGTGTGTTGTAAAGGTTTTGGACAAGTCCGTTTGTTGTTTGATCGTGCGTTCTCGAAGCAAAAAGTTGACTAAAAGAAAAGGAAAATAGGTTAATTTTCGTTTCGGCTAGTCTGTTGTCTCTTTTATCGAGATCGGTTGTTGAATCGTCGGCTCTTTCGCCCGTAAGGAACACTTTCTGTTTTTCATCTTCTCGAGAAATTTATCATTAGGAAAGCCAGCCACGGTTTGATCTAGAGCTTGTAAATCGTGTTAGTGATTTCACCGTGGCGCAGCTGGGTAGTCTTTTTAACCGCGTAACGAGTAAGAACTAATCGTTATAAAAAAAAAAAGTATCTGTAAATGATCGTTTTACGCAAACGCATTACGCTTCTACTGTGCAAAAAAAAAAAGGTGTTTCGTGCTAGTATTGAGCGCACAAAACGTATCATCTATCTCGATCGTGAAGGGAGGAAAGCGAACGAGAACGAAAAAGAACCGACATATGGGTCGCGACACCGGCAATTTTCTCGACGACTCTCCGTCTCGAGATGGAGCGAAAATTTCACGTATTCGAAATCCGTCTAGCGTTGAATAATCGATGAGAATTGCTTTCTCCAAGGAATCAGCGTTATCGATGCAATAATGTTTAATAAATCGTGTCCGATTCACAATCGAGTCGTCGATTAAATATAGAAGGAAACGCGATCGATTAGATTTTTGTCGCTATCGGTCGCGTCGAAGAGCGAATAAGATCGATTCGTATGAGATTTTCACTCTGCCGTGCGTTGGGCCGCCGTGCGTTGTAAATAGGCGATAAGATAGCGCGAGAAAACGGAACTCTTCATGACAATATCGCCCCTAAAAGTCCTAACTAGCTTCATCGCGTGCGGCTACGCCGACGACGATTCTCATCATACTCCATTCTATATTTTTGTCTTCGAGATCTTGATTCACTGCGTTTCACGGATCATACTCGCTCGAGTTGGTCCAACGATTAGAGCACGATCACCAGAATCTAAACCCGCATCGACTTTACTCCCCGATCTCTTCTAAAGAAATAAAAGCTCGATCGAACATGATGCTAAGTAAAACGATGAATTGAGATCGCTTAAATAACTACGGAGACAACAAGAGAAAGTATCGTTCTAGTTTTCTGGCCCAATTCTACGAAATACGCTTATTACAATTACAGATGCGACAGTGATTCGACTCTGTCCTCGAGGAAACCTATCTTTTATCGTTCACACGTATCGACCTGGTCGGCGATCGTTCGTGAACCATTCGTCGAACGAT